AAAGCTTCATAACAGATTCTGTGACGATAAATATTAACTCACTCATAACAGATTCTTTCAAGGTGTTCCATAACAATGCATGGGGATTGTATATGTATCACTTTTACGAAAATTCAAAACATAATTATTTCAAAACAGTTGTGCTATGCATAATCCAGGTTCGTATAACAACATGTACCTTCCTCAGCTAATGTTTGGAAACGATATCTCCATCAATGACGTCAATGTATCAACTCAATGACGTCAAAATATCAACTCAACCAATGACGTTAATATATCAACTCAATCAATATCGTCAATATATCCACTCAACCAATGACGTCAATATATCAACTCAATGACGTCAATATATCAACTCAACCAATGACGTCAATATATCAACTCAATGACGGTAATATATCAACTCAACCAATGATGTCAATATATCAACTCAATGAGTGACGTCAATATATCAACTCAACCAATGACGTCAATATATCAACTCAACCAATGACGTCAATATATCAACTCAATGACGGTGATATATCAACTCAATCAATGACGGTAATATATCAACTCAATCAATAACGGTAATATATCAACTCAATCAATGACGTCAATATATCAACTCAATCAATGACGGTAATATATCAACTCAATCAATGACGTCAATATATCAACTCAACCAATGACGGTAATATATCAACTCAATGAGTGACGTCAATATATCAACTCAATCAATGACGTCAATATATCAACTCAACTCAATGACGTCAATATATCAACTCAATGAGTGACGTCAATATATCAACTCAACCAATGACGGTAATATATCAACTCAACCAATGACGGTAATATATCAACTCAATGAGTGACGTCAATATATCAACTCAATCAACTCAATCAGTGACGTCAAAATATCAACTCAATTAATGACGTTACAATGAAGGAATGTCTTTATTTCCTTCAGATAGGACCGAATAGACTACAGCGATGATATGGCATCCACGATTGTGTTCTGAACTGGTTCAGATCCTGTCTTTCACAGAGATTACGGTGCGTGGACACCGATGGATGATGTGCAGATCACGTACATTTCACCTGCGGCGTGCAGGTTCAGTGTTGGGTCCGATACTGCTAACCTTCCACACAAATGTTAAGATAACAGTGCATGTGATAGCGTAGAGTCAATAGGGGTAGTACATTATAGTAGGATAGCACATAACAGTAGGATAGCACAGGATGCTACAATATAACCCAAGATAGCACATGTATCATATTTCAGTCTATCTATCTAATATACGGGGTAAGCGCTGATATCCAAGAAAATGCTGCTCAAAAGCCCTGTCCTGTCTGAGAAAAAGAATTTCACTGATCAAGAACTAAGTTGAAAAAGTGTGTCTTGAGTTTTTATTTGAATCCAGTGAGGGTGTTCTGGAATTTGATATGGATTGGCAGTTCATTCCACAAGCATGGTCCGGTATAGTCAAAGGGTCTTTCGCCAAAGGTCTTTGTGCGTGATGTTGGTACTTGTAGTTGGAGCCTCTCTTTGGATCTAAGGGGGCGGTTGGGTAGCCTAGTGGTGAAAGGTCCCCCGCGGTGATATTGCTGGAATATTGCTAAAGGTGGCGTAGTAAACTCACTCACTGGCTGGTATCAGTGTGAGACTGGACAGGTAGGACGGAGCTGATCCATCCAAGCACCGAATACGGTACTTCACTGGTAACCAATGGAGGTGTTGCAGGATCCGTGTTACGTGTTCATACTTCCTGGTTTTGCTAACAACCCTGGCAGCGGTGGTCTGGACCTTTTGTAGTTTCTTTATTGACCCATGATTGTAGGAGAGCACAGGATTGCACGGGATATCACCGCCACAGGATTGAACGGGATATCTAGCACAGGATTGCACGGGATATCACCGGCATACCACAGTACAGTATTAAACAGACAACAAAGACTGACACGATACAGCTGAGGACAACACAAGATAGAGTTGAGTAACACAGGGCAGCACAGGATATCTGGGAATAACACATGATTGCTGAGAAAAACACAGGATAGTTTATGTTAGCTGAGACTAGCACATGACAACTGACAATAGCACAAGATAGCATGGGGAAACTGAGAGTAGTAGCGGATAGCCCAGTGTGGCTCACTGATCCCTCTCTGTGTCCAAGCTACACTGAACAGTGTATCAATGAGCGTTCGTCATTCCCCAGTCTTGATGGACACACTGGCTTACCAGGATTTAATCAGTGTGCGTATGGGGATAAATCGGAGCTAAACTCGTCAAAAACAGATTAGACGACACAAAACATGCTTAAATCGGACAACTGATGGTCAGTTTGCCATGACTCACTTAAGGTTAAATGTCAGTGTTACTACGAAAACACAGTACATGGTACACCCTCAAACAAATAACCAAAAACACGGATACTTGTGAACATAATTACAAAATTAGAATAGAAAGTTTTAACAAAATCCTAATGGCTTGAAAGTAAACAGTAAAACTAGGCATTTGAACTTGAAGTGAACAGGATGACGCATACTTCAAGGTTGGGGATTTTCAAATGGTTATTGTCAGTTCAGTTCAGTAAAATATTTGGATCTTCAGGTGGATAACTTTGGGGGGAACGTTGCTGAACATTACTGCATGGCATCAGACCATCGGCTTGAAACATAAGTTACAGACACATGCATAAACAAACATATTGGCAATGACGGGGCATGGAGGGGGCCTGCTTCTTACAAAATCCTCGAATTTCACGAACAGGTTATAAACGAGCGAAAATCATCAGTCAGAGATTATTCAGTCAGTATTATCATTCGAAACCGATTCTATTGTGGAAGTCCAGCATTTCACAGAGGGGCATTTGCTAAAACATGTTTGGTTTGTAAAGTTTTGATTACAGTTGCTTTTATTTGTCGCAGTAGTTCTTGAAAATATGTACATCGAGATTGAATTATATTCAATGCCCCATGGAGCAAGGAATGAAGTTTTTAATAGTTTGTCATGTGGCATACAAAGTTGAAGTTGAACGAAATTATTGACAGAAATGAAATACTCTCATTCAAGAGATTGCAAACCTTCAAGCATATATGTTTCCCATGGTACAGATGTTTGTGGACATCTCTGCAGGTTTACAAGTCACCTTTAGCGTTTATACTTATGCGTGGTTTGGGCAGAAGTTTTCATACGTTTACATACTGGCATCGGTTTCATCATTATTGATGTTTCACGTCTTCCAAGTTCTTTGATCAGACAGTTTGTATGGTGATGCGTACTACAATGGCAATCAGTCTTGTTGGAACAGATCGAATCATTTCCTGTAGGACAGCCAGACTTTGGATGGCATCTGTCTTGGACAGAGAGGGTTTATTCCAGTTGTGTTTCCTCGATTTCATCTAGACAATGCCACGTACTCAAACCTTTACTTGATCCTACTCAAGATGGCATGCAACAGGTTTAGTTTCTCTATTGACCCATAACCCTTGCATTGAATTGATGATTGTTTTACAGTTGTGATCACAACTGGTTGCTGGATGCTCACCAAGGTTGTCATCATTACATAAGGAGTCACGTGTGATTCTACGCCGGAACACACTGGCAGCAGCCTGATGAGAGCAGCTACAAGAAGGAGAATTGGCATCATGAGTTCACATTCTGCAATGCGTTCCTAATATCGGAATAACTTTGATGATATGCTGTTTATAGAGTATTCTGTTTGTGGTTATTGAGACATTGAATCATTTAGGAAAACTGGTTACAAACCATATCGGCAAGTGGGAAATTCAGGAATATTCTGTGGAAGCTGTTTCTACTTGGTCAAAGGTTTCAAAACTCTTTCAAGAATGATACTTGTCGTGTCGATGTATTGGTTCGTACCGTTGTAGACGATCAGTAAAGTTGGATGGAATCATCTAATTATTTTCGATATACAGCGTAATCATTGTCTCGCCTCGTTATTCTGGAGGAGAAGTTGCATATTTTCAAATCATCAGTGGTACTGTTTAGGCTCCGTCTCTTCTGCGACCATGAATTTGTCCCTTCTGTGACCAAGGCTTCGTCCTTTCTGGGACCATAGCGTTTGGAAACCAGAATAATAATAAAGAGAGGTGGACAATTCGTTTGCAACAGAGACTACCACCGTCTTTTGTTGCGTTGGTGTACCTTAACGTCACAACCAATATTTTTCTTTAGACATGCTACAAGACCGACTGCATATACATTACTGAATGATTGAATGATTCTCGAAGATATAACTTAAAGGTAAACTGCATTTATCGCTACCAGATGGACAAATATCTTTTATAATAGCTCACCTTTCCGTGACTTTCGTTTTGCGTTAACACCGTTCTCGAATCTCCATGACAACATTTCATCCTGAGGCAAACACCTTGCAGGCTGGCATGAACGGAAAGGACCATAGCGCTTCGAAATTACTCCTGAATACGCCATTTTTTGTTTCCGCCTTATTTTCGGGCCGAGTTGTTGGCAAGGTGGAATACTTGTGAATTAATCATCCTCATCCAGTAGAGTAGCAAAACACCGTGAATAAATCTCATTTGGATTCGCGAATAAAAAGGTGGCATTTTTCTTTTTAGTCGACGAACGGTTGTGCATTATACATTATTTTAACGATGACCAATTGAAACTGAATGCTCATTCCATGAAGCTGCAACGTCCACAATAACCCTTGTTGAGAGGGAACATGAAGTTAGAAACGGATTAGGGATTGGGGACTTGGATCCCGAATCTGAATTCAAAGAATAACATGTGTCAACCAAGCCAGCGAGTCTGACCACCCGATCCCGTTAGTCGCATGGGTTACTGAAGGCCAATTCTAACCAAGACCTTCACGGGTGTTCGTGAAAGAACAAAAAGAATTATTTCAAGAGTTTATTTGCAGGAAATACAATGATGTTCTGTCTCTGTTTTTCCCGTGCAAACATGCAATTCATGAATACATTGTGATACCTGTATGAGGTTTAGCGCCGAGTCGCCCATGTGCTTGTGTCCGTGTCCGTGTCCGTGTTTGTTTGTTCTGCCCCAACACTCAAGGGAGGCAACTCTTCTGCCTCAAAGCAAACAGCGCAAACCGCACAATAAACATACACTTAGATTTCGAACATAACCACCACCACCCCCCTGACAGAGTCACATTTCACAGTTCATGGTCTCAACTCACTTTGCAAAATAAATCATGCATTACATGGTTTCTTTAGAATCATTTTGTGTCGAGACATTTTCTTCGAGCACACATATCTTCCTCGCAGGACGAATATATTCACCACTTTTAGATTTCACCTTCACAGTCCGGATCCTCCCATCATCACCAGGGAAGATAGCACATACTCTACCGAGCTCCCAGTTACCACGCGGTTGGTTGTCAACAACAATCAACACAAGATCCCCAACACACAATGCTCGATTATCACGACACCATCTATGTCGAACAGTGAGTTCTGGGAGATACTCTTTCAGCCATCTTCTGTATGTGTGATCTGCAATAACTTGTCGCCACTTCCTCCTGCTATTGATATCTTGATCTGAGCACATAACCGGAGGAAGTTGGTTATCTTGCCTACCAAGCAGAAAATGATTTGGTGTAATTGGGGTATAATCCTCAGGGTGTTGACGGTTGTGGGTCAAAGGTCGGCTGTTCAAAACAGCCTCTATATCTACCAAAGCAGTCCGAAATACAGATTCAGAAACATAGGTATTTCTCAGAGTAGCTCTGAGAGCAGTCTTTGTTGAACGGACCAACCTCTCCCATGCACCTCCGAAGTGTGGGCTGTGTGGAGGGATGAAATGCCACTGAATTCCTTGTGGAGCAAGAAAATCGCCAATTTTATCTTGCTTGAACTCTGACAGGCATTGAGATAATTCATTATCTGCTCCCTTGAAATTAGTCCCATTATCACTGTAGATGTGTTGAGGGTGACCCCGTCTACCAATAAATCGTCGCAGGAGTAGAATGAAGTCGTCCGTTTCCAGAGAATCAGCTAGTTCTATGTGAACCGCCCTTGTAGACAAGCAGGTAAAAAGGCATCCCCACCTTTTGATGGAACCTCGCCGGAATTTCACAAACATGGGTCCAAAATAATCAACACCAGTATGAACGAATGTACCTGCTGAAGCATTGAGACGAAATGAAGGTAAATCTGCCATTCTGGGCACATGGGGTATTACACGCCGCTTTCTACAGTCGAGACAATTACTGATGGTTTGTTTAGCCATTCTCCTTGCACTGATCGCCCAGTATCGCTGACGAACAGTTGAGATCATATGCTCCGAGCCACCATGGGCAGTATGAATGTGAGCCTCCTGTAGAATAAGCTTTGTGATATGGTGATTGTAAGGTAACAATAGCTGGTGTTTAGTTTCTGATGGCTTATGAGCCTTTCGCAATCTTCCACCTACTCTCAGATGTCGGCCATCGTAAAATGGACATAAAGGTTGGAGTTTGCTTTTTTCAATCAGTACCTTGCCATGCTGAAAACTGTCCAATTCAGTGTGAAATGCTTCCTTTTGTGATTCCTGTACCCAGCAAAGCTTTGCTTCATCATATTCTGAAGGTAGAAGACATGAGTGTTTAATTGAGGAGAGCTTTAGGCGTTTCACAGAGGATAGGAAGTTGCGCATAGCACGTAATATCCATGCTGTGCGTCGACATAGTCTTTGCCATGAAGAAAAGTCTGCAGGGTTCAGCAAGCTTGATATTTCCAATTCCTTGCAAATACTCTTCTCAGCTGTTTCACAATGGTCAGTCACTGTGTTTAACACATGATGTCTCTTAATCTCAGGATCATCATCACTCAGTTCCCAATCAGTAGAATTCTGTGTTTCTGTCAACCATGTGCTTTCTTCCCGTTTCAAGAATTCAGGGCCTTGAAACCAAGAGTGAGAAAAGTGTATGTGTTTTCCTGACAGTCCACGTGTGCAGTGGTCAGCGGGGTTTTCAAGTGATGGCACATGTTGCCATTGCTCACTCTTAGTGACTTCAAGTATCTCAGAGATCCTGTTGGAAACAAATGGTTTAAATCTCCTTGCCTCATTGTTAATATATTGTAGAACAGTGTTTGAATCAGTCCAAAATTTCACACTTGCCACAGGCACAGTGCGTTCATCTCTCAATGCTAAATATAGCCGCACAGCTAACACTGCTCCCTGTAGTTCCAACTTCGGTATTGTAAGTGCAGGTTGTAATGGAGCCACATGAGTCTTAGCTGCCACAAAGGAGCATGTAATGTTCTGCGATGTTGGTGCATATCGAAGGTAAGCTACAGCACCAAACCCGTGTTCTGAAGCGTCGGAGAAAAAGTGCAGTTCAACTTGTCCAACCGATCTGGTAAGATTTTGGATGATGTCTTGGTATTTCAAAGGAGGTCAATAGGTGCAGTTCAGAGAACCATTCTTTGAATGATAATGCTAGGTCAGTGGGCAGTGGGTCATCCCAATCCAACCTTTGGCGCCAAAGTTCTTGAATTAGACACTTTGCTCTAAATGTGAAAGGAGATAGAAACCCACAAGGGTCAAAGATTGAACTGACAATGCTCACAACTCCTCGCTTAGAAAGAATGGCATTCTTTGGGTTGGGATCAAATACAAAGGTGTCATTAGCAACATTCCATTTGAGACCTAGAGCTCGCTGATGGGCATTTGATTTAAGTCCAAGTTTACACACCCAGAAGCCCTTTCACTATCCGCAATCATGTCAAGCACGTCAACTGAATTTGACATCCACTTGTGTAGATGGAAACCTCCTAGAGTCATTAGTTGGGTTAATTCAGTTGATAAGTTTATCCCTTCAGATAGTGTTTCCACAGACTTCACTAAATCATCGACATAGAAGTCTTGAAGTACGGTTTGAACTGTTTTGTCACTGAACCGTCTAGCATTGTCCATAGCGGTGCGCTTCAGAGCGTAATTCGAACAACAAGGTGAGTCCGCAGCCCCAAAAATGTGGACAGTCATTTTGAATACATTTGGTGGACCTGGCTTCCTCAAATCCTCTTTCCACAAGAACCTTAATGCATCCGAATCACTAGTTGGCACTTTCACCTGGTGAAACATTCCTTCTATATTAGCCGTGAGTCCCACCGCAAACTGCCTGAATAGAACCAGCACTCCAAACAAATTATTCAACAGGTCTGGCCCTGTCATCAAGTTATCATTCAGCGATGTGTCCAAGTGTGTTGCAGCAGCATCAAATACCACCCTAACTCTCCCTGGTTTGTTGATATTTGTCACCCCATGATGAGGAATGTACCAAGTCAGTGGAGAGACTGACATAGCTTCCTCTTCAGTCAACTTGTGTGCATGTCCTTTAGCAATATAGCCATTCAAGGTATCACTATATAGAATAGCAAAGTCACTGTCACGTACAAGGCGCTTAGCTAATGACCTAAATCTTCTCTCCGCAGTTGTGTAATTATTTGGCAAAGTTAAACCATCATGCTTCCACAGCATTCCAACTTAGTAGTGTCCATCAATCAGACATGTGGTTGAATCAAGAATAGACTGGGCTCTTCTGTCTTCAGTCGATGATGGACACTTACTGTCACGTGTTATTCCAAATGACTCTGTCAACCAGAAATTTTCAATCTGATCATGCAACCACTTGGTTTGGGTCACAGTGAAATGAACCTGAGCTTGAGTATTTTGTTTTTCACTCTCATCTCCAGAAACACCCATGAGTGACCAACCGAGTGCTGTCCGTACTGCATATGGCTGGTTATCGGGGCCTGAAACAATATCAGTTTGTAAATGTGCTTCCGGAACATTAAGTCCTATTAACAACTGTACTTCAGATGATTCGATATTTGAGATGCTCAAATCTCTTATATGTTCCCACTCAGATTGCACATGCTGTGGTGGACAGCATATTGCATCTGAAGTTACTGTCAATGCTTCTTTGACATGAAGACATGCTGTATCATAGTCATCAACAGCCTTGATATTGAGGGAAACCTTGCGTCCAGTCTGTTCCACCACGGAATTGAGAGTTTTTTACAGTCAGTGAGTGTTTACTTCCTTGAAGACCAAGATCCTTGGCAAGATTGTCACTAATGAGAGAGATGTCACTTGCAGAGTCAAGCAATGCAACTGTCCGAATAATCCTTCCATTCGAACCAAAGGCAAAGATTGGAACCAACTGGAAATAGACACGAGTTGCATCAGGTGATGACTGTATGTTGTGATTTGTGTGTGTATTTTCGGAGTTCACATGAAGAGATGTGTGGTGTCGCTGACCACATCCATTTTCTCTACAGTGCACAGATGAAAAGCATTTCGATGCAACATGATTGGGTTTGAGGCAGTTGTAACACAATTTCCTATCCCTTACTAACTGTCGACGTTCATTAACAGTCTTGTTTGCATAGAGTGGACATCTATATAAATAGTGTGCATCGCTACACAATGCACATGGCATTTTCACTTGTGTTTCAGTCTGTGTTTGAATCCATGGCTGATTATGAGTTAATAGGTCCTCCTGAACCTTGATTTGAGTTTGTTTACCTGCCTGTGCTTGAGTTTCACTACCATATATGGTACTTGACTGTTTTGGTGATGTTTGTCGACTTACTGCTGCATACAGCGTGCTCTTCCTTCCACTTGTTTTCTCCTGCTGAGTATGTGAAAGGCCAGATTGTTCATTCCTATTGGAATTATTACCATGTCTTTTGCTACCATGAGAGACAGCATAAGGGTTGAAATCAGCTTCTACACGATCTCGTAGCCACTGCTGAAGATCCATCAATGTCGGTTCTCTTGTTTTCATAACTGATTTCACATGTTCATTCCACCGCGTCACCTTGTCTACTGGAAGTCTTCTAGCAGCTTTTAGCAGAATATCACAACTTCCTAAGTCAGACATGTACTTGAGTTGCTGTAGAGTTGTGATACAATCTCTGATGCTCACATAGAAATGTCGGAGGGCAGCAGAATCACAAGCTGAAATTACAGGTCCTGTTACCACTTTGTCCAAGAATGCACGAGCAATTCTCACTCTGTGACCAAAAGCGTTCTTTAACTCCTGCAACACCAAGGCATAGTTCTTACCACTGTAACCGAGACCCTGCACATGATGAGATGCTTCACCCCTCAAATGCGATTGTAATAAATCCATCTGCCTTGTATCCGATGTGCCAGGTCTGCAATGTACTTGGGAATAGAATTGTTCAATAAATCGAGGCCATGCCAATGCAGCTCCATTGAACACAGGCAAATCTACCTTTGGTAAGTCACGCTCACTTTCAACATGTATAAGAGTTTGTGTCAACTGATCAGAATGAGATATTCCATGCTGAGTAATGAGATTAGTCTCCTGTCCTGGAATGAGTTTATCTATCCATGCATCAATGGGTTCATTCTCTTGAGAATACTGATTATACCTGGGTCGTACATTTGGAGGGCTGTTAGACGCTGCTTGTGGAGGTACCCCGCCATCTACTGCCCTAGCATTTGTATTCAATAATGTTGGTGGAGTTGTAAATTGCACATGACCAGAAAAGCTTGGTGCTAGTGGGTTCAACACACTTGTAGGGACTTGTCCTGTTGTGGTAGAGTGAGATAAGATTGTTTGTGTGGGAAGGACATGACCTGAAATCTCATGGAGTTGCCTTCCAGTAGATTGAGTAGTCTTTCTTACAAGTTGTGTTACAGATACAGCAGGCTGAGAACATGACATGCATGATTCTGTTGGTAACACAATATTACTTGACATCCTCTGATGTCCTGTGTCTACTGTGTCCTATATAAGGTACAGTTTAGCAGAGTTCACTAAAGTTGTCAAACGAGCAGCACAGCCGCGCCTTACATACTTCAAATTCTGTCTTTTTCCACTATCAGAAGCACTGTGTTTATTGTCATGTTCATAAACCTCGCCACTCTTAACAACATCCGACTTGCTGGTTGCCATTTTGAATGCGCGAAATTTGAATCACTTCTGTAATGTCAGGGAAAAACTTTTTGTTCGTGAAAGAACAAAAAGAATTATTTCAAGAGTTTATTTGCAGGAAATACAATGATGTTCTGTCTCTGTTTTTCCCGTGCAAACATGCAATTCATGAATACATTGTGATACCTGTATGAGGTTTAGCGCCGAGTCGCCCATGTGCTTGTGTCCGTGTCCGTGTCCGTGTTTGTTTGTTCTGCCCCAACACTCAAGGGAGGCAACTCTTCTGCCTCAAAGCAAACAGCGCATACCGCACAATAAACATACACTTAGATTTCGAACAACGGGTATTAACACATTTGGAATTCTGAACTTCAACGTCCTTGTAACTATACTCTTTGCACCTTCGTCTGTCAAACCTACCTATCCTCGACGTTGCCGTGCAGATAGTGAACGGTCCAGAAGGTCTTCCCTGCTTGCAGGCGTCAACCCTCGATCACGACCGAGCAAAGACGAACAAGGTCAATATTCATTATTTCATCCACCTTCTAATGTACTAGGTGCTCGTTGTATACGTGGGTAACTTAACAACATAAACAACCAAACTACAGTTTTCGATATTTGAACCTCAAATCTGAGTTTTTTTATATTCGGTATTTTTCTTTAGCACATTCGGTACTCGGCATTCGGCATTCGGCATTCAGTATTCACTATAACTCTTATTATGCATTTCTTTTACACATTTGGGATTTGGAACTTCAGTGTCCTTGTAACTATACTCTTCGCACCTTCATCGGTCATCGTATCTGTCCTCGACGTTGCCGTGCACCTTCGAAAATAGTGACGGTCCTGAAGCTCTTCCCTGCTTGCAGGCGTCAACTCTCGATGACGATCGAAGAAAGACGAACAATGTCAATATTCATTATTATCACTATTATCGGAATCGAATCCCGAATCCGATGTTTTTGTTCACATTCGGGATTCGTATCCCGAATATGATTTCTTTTCACATTCGGGATTCGAAAATAATGTAATTCCAAATGTAAACAAAATAAAACCTCAAAAAACCTTATTTCTTCATTCAGCTAAGTCACCCATCCTATATTATAGAACCAGTGGCAGGAGCCAATGAATGAATGCATTATTGAATGAACGAAGGGATGAAGTTTGAGATTTTTCCGACTAACCATAATTTTTCTAAATGCGGGTTTGTGGTTTAATGGATATTAATGTAGCTTTTATCAGTAAGGTGAGGTGGAGGCATGTGAAGCGACTGCACCATCAGTGAGATGGAGGCATGTGAAGCGACTGCACCATCAGTGAGGTGGAGGCATGTGCAGCGACTGCACCATCAGTGAGGTGGAGGCATGTGCAGCGACTGCACCATCAGTGAGGTGGAGGCAGGTGTGAATGTGCAGCGACTGCACCATCAGTGAGGTGGAGGCATGTGAAGCGACTGCACCATCAGT